ACATTTGAAATCGTGCAAGGAATCCAAGCTCTTCTCTTATGAATGAAATATTTTTGATTCCGGATCAAGTCACAGGTTGTTCGGAAAATAACATCAGTTAAGATAAAGCTGTCACGATCAATTGCTTTGTAAAAATCTATTATTTTTAAAATTCCTGGACTACTACTCTCTGTATATCTCGCTATCAATCTACATTGTGGTAGGTTCTTTTAATGTTTGCCACTTTTTAGATCCTTCATCACTTCATTTAGCAATATTAGAGGTGGGTAAATAAACAGATATTCATAATTTAGTAATATATTTACACTTTTGATAACAAACATAAACAAGTTTTCTTTTGTAGTCACTCCCTTGTTGTATATCCAGGGAAAACGGCAAGTCGTCCTGTTATGAGCGGAGTGGGGCGTTACTACGGCTACTCCTGTTTTGCTCATTCCCTTATTAGAGCTGCTTCACCAGACTTTGTTATTATATTAAAACTGAAAAATAGAGAAGTGGATTTTAAACTGAACAATAACTTTGATATTCCACAAGTTCCATGTTTAACAGGAAGTCCCCGTTCACAATATTCAAAACTCACGAGAATGCAGGTGAGCACCGTGCTCTCTGACAGGTGTGGGTGAAAAGACGCGCCTACTTTGCGCTCTCACCGTCATTGCCTTTGTCATACCTCAGGCGTTCGTGTAAGACAAAGGGAGATGCTTACAAAAACCCATATGAAACTTAAATAACTTTTTATATAAATATATTTACGTAATACAACAGGTTACGTAAAATTAATGTTTTGAATGATTAGACCAATCCATGTACAATACTCCCCATTTAAGTTAAAATTAATAATTTTAATTCATATGATTGGACTAATTCATTCATCCAGAGGACAACGGCTGAGTATATCAGCTCCAACATTTTCATTGCCCTTTATGTACTCAATACTATATGTATAACATTGGAGTGCGAGTGCCCAACGCATCAATCTGCCGTTAGTATTTTTCATGTTTCTCAAATAAACAAGAGGCCTTTGATCTGTTTGGATAATGAATTCTTTTCCATACAAATATATTTTGAATTTATGAATGGCCCATACAATACTTAGACACTCCTTCTCAATAGTAGCATAGTTTTTCTCCCTGTCTAGCAGTTTCCTGCTAGCATATGCAATTGGCATCTTTACTCCATTTACATCCTGCAGCAATACAGCTCCAAGTCCAAGATCGGAAGCATCACTTCTGAGATAAAAGATTTTTGAGTCGTCAGGTAAACATAAAATTGGTTCTGATACTAATGAATCTTTTAAGTTATTGAAGCTCTCAATCTTGTCATCACTCCATTGTAATTTATTACTGCAATGTTTTTTTTAGCAGATCATTCAAAGGGGCAGCAATACTAGCAAAATTCTGAACAAACTTACGGTAATAACCTACCGTACCAATGAAAGATCTTAACTGTTTTTTATTTACAGGTAAAGGCATTAACTGGATTGCATTGATTTTCTCTTTAAGAGGCGTTATGCAATTATTACCCAATAAAACGCCTAGATATTTGATTTTGGAAAACCCAAAAAAACACTTACTGACGCTAGCAGTCAAACCATGCATACGTAGTCTCAACAGAAGATTTTTCAAGTCCTGTAGATGATCAGACCAGTTAGCATTATGTACAACAATGTTATCAAAGTAGCAGTCAGTATTTGCAAGACCAAACAACACTTTTCTCATGAGCCTAATGAAGGTGGCACACGCTGTTTTAAGACCAAAAGGCATTACTTTGAACATCATAAGACCTCTGTGAGTTGCAAATGCAGTATATACTTTTGATTCTTTAGATAATGGTATTTGCCAATATCCACGACAAAGATCTATTTCACTGAAATATACATCGTTTACAAAATTCCCCAAAGCGGAGTCAGTAGTTGGCATAGGTTCTGCGTCAAACTCACTAGCATCATTTAAGCATCTATAGTCAATGCACACTCTCCAAGTTCCATCACTCTTTTTCACCATGACAACAGGTGAACAGTATGGAGAGGTTGAGGGTTCAATTATATTCATTTCTAACATTTTATCTACTTCATTGTTAAATTCTTTTAACAGACTGTTTGGAATCGGGTACGGTTTCTGGCGCACAGGCTTATCGGAGTTCACACGAATCACATGTTCAATAGTGTTAGTCAAGCCAGGCTTATCAGTCAACACGTCAGAGAACTCATTCATTATCACCTTTAAATCATCAATCTGACTTTCAGATAATTCACTGCCTATGTTGATATTGCACTCACTATTAGTTTCAAGATAAACAGGTTCACAGTTATTGCCACAATTATCTTCATCTTCAACCACACAAATTTGAACAGTTTCACCTTTTCTTTTAAAACCATCACGACGAAAGTACTTCTTTAACATATTTATGTGAAATAACCTATTCTTTCCGCGAATTCTAATTACATAATCAACACCATTCCCTTTGCATTCAACAACTGGATAAGGACCAAGCCACTGCATAACTAATTTGTTACTGCTAGAAGGCAATAACACTAGTACATCATCGCCTATGTCTAGTTTACGAGATTTAGCTTTGAGGTCATAGTATGTCTTATAGTTGCGACTACTTATTTCCGCTTGCTCTGCCGCTAATTTGGCAGTTTCTTCCAAACGCGAGCGAAGATCTAAAACATATTGGTACGTAGTTTTAACCTCACTGTCAATATTGTCGTTAGTCCATAGCTCGTGTAGGATTGTCAAAGGACCGCGTACTTGTCGGCCATACAATAATTCAAAAGGTGAAAACTTAAGACTGTCATTAGGAATCTCTCTATATGCAAACAGGGCAGCAGGTATAAAGCGATCCCAGTCTCTCGGGTGATCAGCACAAAGCTTTTTAATCATGGATTTTAATACCCCATTTAGTCTTTCAACTGCACCGTTACACGAAGCATGGTAGGGACTCGTGTACAAGGCTTTTATAGAGAGTAATCTATGGATTTCACCCATTAGATCCGACTTGAATTGAGACCCACGATCTGACAAGATTTCCCTCGGTATACCGACTCGCGAGAAGATTTCTACTAAACTCTCGGCCACTGTCATCGTGTCAATATTTTGTAAAGCAACAGCTTCGGGGTACCTAGTTGCATAGTCTATTAGAGTGAGAATATACTTATTTCCTCTCTCAGAAGCTGGTGTAAAAGGACCCACTATGTCTATAGCTACACGTGAGAATGGCTCTGAAATTATGGGGAGGTTTTTCATCGGTACTCTTCTCACACTTCCTTTAGATGAAAACTTTTGACAGGTCGGACATGATCGACAGTACCTTTTAATCTGGGCACCTGCACCGGGCCAAAAGAACTTTGAAAATACTTTATAACTCGTCTTTCTGTGCGAGAAATGACCAGCTGTAAGGGAATCGTGTGCGAGATTCAGGACGTGGATCCGATACTTCTCGGGAATCACCAGTTGCTTACTCCCAATTTCATATTCATGTTTGCTTTTTAAACACACCCTGTAAATGAGATCATTGACATGCTCATATTTTACCGTTCTAGATTTTACATTTACATTTTCGCCGCTTTTAACTTTCTCCCTTATGGTTTTTAGACTTGGGCAGTTCTGCTGTTCCTCTTTTAGATTACTTTTAGTTATGTTTAGATCTAAGAATTCAGGGCAAGCTAATGTTATAGATTTTGACTCCGATGAACGAGTTTTAACAGCCATAGCAACCGTAGGAATTTTAGCGTCACGAGATCTGTCGCGCTCAGACTGAACATCCCCTACCTCGGTAACAGCGAGTGGGGTAGGGTTAGGCTGCCGACAGTTGGAATCCATGGGGGTGTCTTTACTGCCGTCATAAGCGAGCGAAAGAGGATCGTGCTCCCCAGGTAGTTTCACACCCTGGAACGAGTCCAATCAGCACATCTGCAAATTTGATTGGTGCTGCAACCGCACTGATCCACCCTGTGAAAAATTTACTTTTAATAAAGCATCTTACTTTAGGGAATGAATTTGGAATGCCCAGATAATCATATACCTTGACTACAGGGACCTAGTTTGAATCTAGACTGGTATCAACTTTTCGTTTACAATTACGGAGGAACATCCCGTGTCGAGTAATATTTCTGCTGGCTTATCAAACAACTTCCCATTTGAGTCAATTATTGAATTCTGAGGTTTGATTTCGGACTGAAATACAAAATTAACCTTGGATTCACTCTTAGTTTTGAAGTTCTTAGGGTTGTTAGGGCAGTTAGGCCTGATATGACCCGACTTCCCACATCCATGACACTGAATCTCATTTTCAATATTTGTAGACTGTTTAGTCACCGACCTTGAAAATTTACTTACTCGATATGAATGTGCACTACGGTACCTATCAGCGGCTTCTGCCATTTCCACCGCAGTTTCACAGCCTTTCTCCTTCAGAAATACGCGGAGATCGGAACTGCAATTATTTAATAATTGTTCCCTGACAAGAAAATCAAACAAGCTACCGTATTTCTTCTCAACATTACTCATAGTTATCCATCTATCGAGGTACTGCTCCATTCTAATTACTAACTGGACATACGTCTCCTTATCTTTACATCTGCTCTCACGAAACTTACGCCGATAAGAATCTGCGTCTACAGAATAAGCCCTCAACAAAGCCTCTTTTAAACGAGTATAGTCTCTAACGATGTCATCTGGCAAAGATACGTAAACCTTAAGTGCCTGACCCCGTAAACAAGTACCTAGGTAAACATGGTAATCTTCAACCTTCCACCCGTGTAATTCCGCCAGACGTTCAAACCGCTGCAAATAACTATCTAGGTCATCCTGACCGTCAGCAAAAGTAGGCAGTCTGAGTCCTTCAAACATATGAGCATTAGTGTTGCTATGATTACCATTAGGACCTGACTGGATTTTAGCGAGTTCAATCTCATGCGCTCGGCGCTTCTCAGCCTCGGCATATTCCATTTCCATTCTCTTTACTTCTCGCTCGGCAGCGCGCTCTTCCCTCTCAGC